TTAAATACCCGAACGGGTATTTGAATCAAGAACCGACGGGTATGGATCGGTTTTCAGTTTTAGGCCAAGACCCGAAGAACCGAATAAAAACCGAATTTCCTTAATTTTTTTAATTTATTTATTTTAAATAAGTAAAATTATTTTATTTTTTCTAAATAAATTTGTTAACTAATTAATTTAGTTCAAATCACAAAATATGATTTTCCTATTTCTAATATTCAGTTCAAAATCGACTTAATCAAATTGACGTCAATTTTATCCAAATCTGTTATTCTACTGTAGTGTTGTTTCTACCGGAGAAAATCGAATTAAAACTCTACAACATCTCTCTTAATTATTTTTAGCTCGCTATCTTTCTCTTTCTGTGATTTTAATAATCAAATTTATGAAGAATTCAACAAAGAGAGACGTAAAACACATAAGATTGAACAACGTTATTTTGTAATAGCTAATATTAAATAAATCATTAGTTAAATTAACATAATTTTGTATATATTAAAAAATTTAATTATAATACGAAACCGAACGGAACCAAACCGGACCGGACCGAACCGAACCAGAACGAACCGAATCGAATGGAACCAAACCCGAATGGTTCCGTAATTAAATTTGGACCCAACGGTTCCACTTACTAAATACTCGAAAATTTCGAGTCGGTTCGGTTCTCGTTAGAACAAACCGAATCGGACCATGTCCAGCCCTAAGAATACCTCGAATAAGTATTTGAAAAATGCTCCCACGAGGTTCCGTGTATTGCAGTTATTATTATTTTTTCATTTTAGGTATTGCTTTCTGAACTCTGTTTTCAACCGAGATATTGAAGTCATCGGTATATTGTTTTCGTGCTTGTTTTTCAGATTAGTTGTAGATGTTGGGAAAATCGGGGTGGTAAGTATGTCACGATATGAAGTATTGATCATAAACAAGAACAAGATTAAAAACAAGAAGAAAGATTGGCAGAGGAACTGAGTAATTTTATTATTGACAACCAATTGAGAGAAAAATACAATATGAGCAATTATGTAAATTGGAAGAAGATTCAAATATGTATAAGGACAATCCAAGCCCTACGAGCAGAGCTATGGATGAACTAGAACGCCCAAAAATTTTCTTATTTAGATCTGTTTAAGTCCAATACAAATTCCAACCCTCATTAAGGTTTCCAAATAAAAATTCAACTAGAATTTGCCAATGGACTTTGATTAGGATTTCAAAAGCATTCCAAATAGATTTTTTCTTAATTTGCACTTTAATTAGAACTCTTAATTATATTCATCAAAGAATTTGTGGGTTCACACTCAAATTCTAACAGCAGAAAAGGTAGTAAATGATCGATCAAATTTGGAAAAGAAAGAGCTTATGGTGCTAACAGTGAGCTTTTGCTTTGCATGCATTGCCACTCCCAAGATGATTTCAATTAAGTTTTTTTTTTTTTTTGTGGAAATTACCAAAATAGTCAATTTTTGACTTTACATTTACAAAAATGTCACTTTTTTTAGGTCCTTGCAAGATTGTTAATTTTGAACATTTTTTGACATTTTTACCCCTCTAGATAATTCAAATACCCTACATGTCCTTCATGAAAAATTGATTTGACTAGATTAAAAAATAGTACAAAAAATTTTCAAACATCACATCAACTGCTCTCACATAACTATATATATATAATTCACATTATTGCTTTTTCTCTCTCTCTCTCTCTCTCTCTCTCTCTCTCTCTCTCTCTCATCACTTAAATACAACTCTTTCAACAATCGAAGGATTTGAAGCCCTAACTCAGAAATCTCTACCTGTAAGAAGAAGAAGAAATCTGCAAAAGCTGTAGCGGCATGGTGGCGCTGTGCTTCTTATTGTTTTTTTTTTTTTCAAGATCATCACAACCTTATTTATGCCACCTAGACCCGTTCAATGTTTGGTAAGCTTTAAGAAATTAGTTGAGGAATTTTGGAATGTTAATTTTGTGGATTTTATCAGCTCTTTTTACTAGATTTCTATTGTAGTGTCTGAAATATAGAGTTGCTTATAATTGTTTTCTTTATTTTCAAATGGCAAAACTAATGTGGCAAGATGGAAATATGGTAAATATATATAGCTAAAAATATTCATTGGAATCTCAATCTTCTGGCCAAGAATATAGCTCAAACAGATTCTCTGGGATCTCAATCTAGTAGCCAACAATCTTACTGTAAAATGAGTTTTCGGTTACAATTTGATCATTCTAGCTCGCAGCCAATTTTAGTTTTTAGGAAATGTAACGACCATATGCAAAATATAACATGTAATGAAGGTGAATAATTAGTCATTGTCATGATTTTTGCTGACTGTGTATTTATAACTCCATTTTATCGGCTTCTACTTCTTGGGCAACATATCTTCTAACAAAGGTTTTTACTATTGCTTCATGCACATGTGTGTATTCATATGATAGTCCAAGGTTGTTTGGATATGTCCAAGTGTGGGTAATTCCATTTTCGTTCTACGAAATGTCTTTGCATTGCTTAAAAATGGTGCTGTAGATGTCGAACTTCTATGTCTCATGTGTACGTTTCAGCAGATTGCTGAAGTGAGTTGTGCAGGCTGTTTGAACTGTCGTTTTCTATAGTTCAACTCTGCCAATCTCGACAGATGTACAGAATCTCAAGCATATGTTGAGATTAATCGTCGGTATTGACAGATGAACTGTCCACACCGACGATTGATGTCAATTTTTCGCGACAATTCACCTCACTACAAGCATGAGTTCGATTCATTACGTGTTACATTTTTATGTTTTATCATGATTTAATCCGTGTTTTTCTCGTTGTACCTTGTAGGAGAAATGGAGTTTGAATTCCTCGTTTTAGAAAATGCTCGGTTGAGAAAGTTGGTCTAATGTGCTAGAAGTTGGTCTGTTGTTTTTCAGTTTGAATGTTGTAATGCGATAACTTAAGATTAGCAGTGTGGGGTTAGTGCATAGTGAATGCATGGATTTTGCAAATAATAAATGGTTATGTACACTATAATTTATTTTGTAATGAAGGCACGAGCACATTGTGTAGGAGTTCCTAGTTTACTTGGACCATATTTTCTTCCTTCCTCATCAATTACAAAGTCGTTCGTCAATGATGATTGGGTTAAGATGACTAGCCATTAAAATTTTTCCATTTCACGAAACCATGCTACAACAAATTCACAAGGACGTTAATGTGAGTTTTTTATTTTATTTTATTTTATTGGGTTAAGATGAGCCATTTTTATTATTATGCCACAAAGTCATGACAACCATGTTACAGCTAATTTAAAGTGTATAATGTGAGTTGCAGGAAACTTGAATCCATTGTTCAAATGATTTAAGAGTCACAATATCCTAGTAATTATGTGGAAATGGGGGGATAAATGTACAATTATTTTATTGAACCATCGTACCGACTAAATTTAAATGAAATTGGACTTTGTGGTTAGGTAGTATATGATCATAATTGCTTCTTCCCTTCAAGTTGATTATAAATAGTATGTTGTCATTGTCAGTTACAAATAAAGCACTTCAGGTGTCGAAATCGACAATTGAATTCTCTGTCCATCCCTCCAATTACTAAATGTCGAGTTTGACAGTTAAAATGTCTAACCCGACGGTTTCAACGAAATTACTCAACAGTTGAACTACCATAAGTTTCGGGGAAGCTAAAAATCATGTGTTTGACTGTTTGAAGAATTTATTGCAAAACATTAATGGTGATA